AGCTCTATACTTGTGGTCACATGGAATAATTGCTCTCCAGATACTCATTGGCGAGTCTAATTTTAAAATATCTGTACCTGAATTCCTATTCAAAGATTCACTGAGAGAAATAATATTTGTGGAGGTTTGGCTCAGAAAGGCTAGGTCCTAAAATTTACTTACAGATTAAGGTAGTAATCAAAAAGCGAGCATCCTGTTATTGAACTGGCATCTCACCGAATTTACTTTCAGATTTTTAATTTTTTCTTGACTTCCCTGCACTTCAGGTTATATTGAGAGGTGTTATAAGGAACAATTCTCTGAACGAGTGATGTGAGTACTGTACAGTTACTGTGGAGATGTTCCTCACACCTCACAGTGGTTCTCTGGGCTGATTCACAGTGGAAACGTTGCTCCACTCTGAGTAACAGGATCAGAAGACTAAGACATGTAAGTGTTAATTAACTGTGTGGATCATGGAATGAATACCTAATCCTGTTTCTCTCTATGTATTGGCTGCTACAAATCTTAGAACTAATTTTTTTTAAAGATTTTATTTATTTGACAGAGAGACAGGCATAGCGAGAGAGGGAACACAAGCAGGGGGAGTAGGAGAGGGAGAAGCAGGCTTCTTGCCAGGCAGGGAGCACTACGCAGGTCTCCAACCCAGGACCCTGGGATTATGACCTGAGCTGAAGGTAGACGTTTAACGACTGAGCCACCCAGGTGCTCCTTAGAACCAAATTTTTACTGAGCTCTAAAATTACTTAGAAATCATGACATACCTTTTATGTTCTAACCTCACCGCTGACTGCATCCTGCTCTGCTTACCTTATCTTTTGCCTCCAACTTCCTCTATTTATCTTGGGGTACTAACTACTTCTTTATAAGCCTCTTTAAATCCTTCCCAATGTAAAACAGAATGTTAATAATAAATGGTGTTTGAATGTGTTGTCTTTCCATTCTATAAAGGCTTTCTCCAAACAATGACTAAGCCAGAGACCAGGGGTTGACACTGTCATCGTCTGGGATCTTTGGGAAGCAGGCACTAAAATGAGGAGTTTATAGTGCAGGATAGTTATTAGGAAATACCCCTATGATAAATCCCCGGAGAAGGAAGAGGAATGAAATAGGAGTGAACAAAGCAAGCTCAGCTGTAGAGCTGCTCAACAACTTCCACTGTTCTGGAGCCAAAATGGCTCATCTGAGTTATCTTACTTTGGGCTGAAAGGGAGGGACCTTTCAATCAGTCATCAGATATTGGTTGCTTTAGGAAAAGTCTGACTTTGGATAAAGTGGCTCTCTACGGCGGACGTGATTCTGGAAAGGTCTGATCACTCAGTGCTGCTGTCTGCTGAAAACACTCCCAGCAGCTAGAAAAGCAAACCCATCCCTGGAAAGGAAAGTGTGCCACGTCATCTATCACAGACATCCCAGGTAAGCCAGATATCCTGAAGAAAACAGAACACCCTGGGGAAGTTAAATACCCTTGAGGAGTTATTTTGGACATAGAGCTATGTGCTAGTCAAATGTTCTATTCTGCCTAGAGAAAACCTACTATATATCTCCCTGAAAGGGCACAAGTTGAGGGATAAACATTTCACCCATATTTGATGTGTGTGAGAGTGCGCACACACGAGTGTGGAAGGCTTAAAACAACATACATTTATTATCTCAGTTTCTTTCCAGGTACATATTAATGGATCTTCTGTCCATAGTCTCACAAGGCTATAATCAAGGTATTGTCAGGGGCTATTGTCTGTATATGTGTTTAATGTACAGTATCTATGAATGTGTCTACCTTGTACCATACACAACCTATAGACTTCAGATGTGGACTCAAAGTAGAAGCCATCTCTATCATATACTCAAGTGTGCAGCATTTACAATGTATGATCCTTGTCATTACAGGATTGTAATAGGGACTTTTGGCTTCATAGCAACTCCTCTAGTCATGTACATTCTTATACTCATGAACAAGAAATGCTACTCTTAGTAAATGCTATACCACATGATGTAAAACACTGGACATTTAGGTATACTATATACAGAAAATGAAAATTTAATTTTCTTATTGAGATTCTTTCTAAACCCTTGAAGTAAAACTCCAATTCACCACATTCTTCACATTTTATAAGTACATACATTGTTCAGCTAAGTTGGTGAAAGCAAAACATAGAGATAAATAGAACATACTTGCAGCATATATACTCAAAGGTACAGCTATGTAAAACTTAGCCTGCACTGTGTTTGTTGCAAGTGTTACACATATGTCATGGAATACTTTTTTCATTTTTTAAACTAAATAACATTTTTTCCCTTGCAAATTATCCCTGGTTGTTTATTCATTTGTGTGTTTTTGTTTTGTTTGTTTGTTTGGTTGTTTTTTTTTCTGTTTTGTTTTGGTCATCTTTTTGTTTTTCAATGACATCTAAGATCTTCTGACCTGAGTCCTCCTCTTTCAGTTGAGAAAACTGTAGTTTTCTAGAGCGACTTGGTAATTACCCATTCAAGAGAGAAAATTCAGGACTAGAATCCAGGTTTTCCAACTCCTACTCCGATATTTTTTCTCCCCCATTGTCCCCTTCACTGGTATTAATAACTCTAAGAAATCAAGAGTACAGACAAATCTCCCATGCACAATGTCTGTGTTGGCAAGATATCCCTCCTATTATCCCCTTTCTCAAATGATTTTTTTTTCAGATATCTCCTTTGAGCACATAGTTGCAACAATTAAAGATGAGTTTTGTTTTTACTACCAATGTGTGTGTTTGACATCAGTGATTAATACAGTCTTCTCTCAGTTGCTAAGTTTCTTTATCTTGGTGAATAAAGACTTGACAAATTGTTAGGCAAAGAGCATACACTTCAAAACTATTGAGATATACCGGAGTGTCAGACAACCTAGGAAATACAAAGACTGAAGAGATGTGCACATCAGCTTTTTTTCATTCATCAAGAGGAAATGTAGCTCAAGTGGGGTTGACTTTTTGTGACATTTATTTAGTTCTTGAATTGACTGACAAGCCTATTAATTTATTCCCTGAACTTTATTAATGTAATTGGAAAACCGCCCACATGTCAATCAACTTATAATGAGTAATTATGTTCATAAATACTGTAAAATTATTAGCTTTTAATTTGACCCAAACACAAACCCAAACTTTCAAAACAGTAACACAAATATTTTTTTTTCTAGAAGAACAACATATTATACTAATAAAACATACAATAAATGCGTTCCTACAACACACTTCCTAAAATGGAGTTCAAAAGTTCACCATCACCAAATGGCCAACAAAAAGGAATGCCATAGTAAGGCATGTAACAGTTTAAAAAATCTGTATAGTGTTAAACCATCTACATAGCATAAAGTTATAAAGACATACTATAAAAAGCAAGCATGTGCCTGGGCAGGGCTCATATATCCATAGTCTGGTTTAAAAATATAAGCCTACTATGGAACAAGACAGAATGGGAAAAAGGAGAGAGGGGTATGTTTAGTGTCCAGAAAGACATCATTTAAACCTATAAGAAGAAAAACGTCTATATCTTCAGTGACTCAAATATAATTATTATTCAAGTGTACTTTTTTTCTGGTGCAATAAAAATCCTTTGTAGTCTTTGAGCTAGAAACTCAAGTCAAAGGGCGCAGAACTAAACAAGAAAACAAGATTAGGCTTGCATAACAGAAGAAATGTGTTTTTGACTTGTAATCCCATGCCAGTTTCTGAAGGTGGACTAACTCCTGACCTCTAGAATCTCTGGATAATCTCTGAATGAAGACAGGCTTTGGTGAAAACTTTATTATATTCTCATATGACTTTAAATAAAGAACATCAACACAGTGTGCAATGATCTGTAATAAGAAAAACCATTGGGGAAATTTCCGGGCTTATTGTTTACCTTACACTTTTCTCCTTAAAGTTGATTACTTAATTAATACATTTAAATTATATCATGAAGTTAAAATATTTACTACTAACTGAAGTTGTATTTGACTTCGGGCTTACCTTTATATAAGGAAATAAAGGTGTAAGTTAATGAAATTCCAGGTGTAAGCCATGTACCTAAATTAATACTTCGAGTTCAATTTTTGAAGGGTAAACTCAAAGATAATACAACTAACTTGCTCCCTCAGCTTTTTTCTTAGGAATAAAACATGCACTCACTGGTACCACATTATCACATAATTTGTCATTAATTTTACTTAGAAATGCTGCAGTGTCATCTTAAGATCCACAGCACAATATTTTTATGGAAACAACACGTCATTAATCTATAAAGCACAAGGAAATAGTAAAAGGGCAAGAATATGCATTTTCTATTCAACTAGCATTGTAATTGCATTCTTCTTGAAAAGTATTTACATTGGGGATATATACACTCTTACATTTTAGTATGTGTGAAAAATAAAGTAACTTGATGATTCTGTGTGTATTTGGAGACTGTAAGTTAGCTAGAATGATTTATGATCTACTGAAAGTAAATAAAAGTATAACCCATTGTGTACCATATTTTTCCAATTACTCTATATTTAAATAAAGTAATTCTAGAAGGCTGCTTCTTTCCATTGTGACTTCAATGAACGTAAGCAGAATTTGGATTGAGACAGAGTGCTGGAAGTCTTGAGGATTACTTTTAAAGAGTTATACTACAGATATTTCAAAAAGTTCTAATATTTTCATGCATCCATCATGGGTTATTGAAATTAATTTTAATGTATCAATCATGGGTTCTCAAAGATGTATTGAACGGGTGACTCAAAGGAAGATAGTAAGTGAAGAACACACAAGAAAATCATAATGTGGTGTTAATGGATAATTTTTGGTCTTGGTAAGTGGGGACTTATATGTTTATAATAGCCATTACACTTAATGGAATCTAGGAACATAAATCCCTGAAGACAATGACTACATATCTTTCAACATTGTCAGTTACTTCTGAGTCATTCTGTTATCTAAATACTGAACCTTGTTAAATATAGTCCTTCACAATAAAACAATTATAGAAATGCATACCTTGCACAGTTAGATGCACCTGCATTGTTCTCGGTGTATGTTGAGTCTGAACAGAACACGTGTATGGGCCATCGTCTGTCACATCTACATTCTGTATCTGGAGGCTGTAGTCCCTTTTATTCAATGTTGAAATTGAAACTCGAGGATCCACTGACCACTTATCGCCTCCCGCAAAAATAATACTTGACCGGTTCAGCCAGGCACCCTTTGAAGCTCCATCTTCCAAATAACACCTACAAATTACCAGAGACAGAACACTATTAATCAAAATGAAAATGAAAGACAACATTATCTTTGTTCTGAGTGCATTTCCATATGTTGAATTATAGCACTGTATCAAATACAAACATCAGACATAAATGCAGAAAATATGAACATTTGAGCACACTGGTACATCTTCCATTCCCAATGCAAATGTGAAACAATGCCTGCATACAGTTTTGTTTTGTTTTAAATGTGTGTGTGTGTGTGTGTTTTAACTCGGAGCCAGTCAAAATCCTTTTTCGCTCTGTCTGGATGACAAGTAAGTTTAAATAAAGTTAAATTCCTTCAAATAATAATTTCAACATTAAAACATTTTTTCTTTGAAATTATAAGAAGTAGAAAAGGTCCATGAGTTAGACTGTTTTAACCAAATCCAATTCTAATATAATATACTAGATACTAAATAGAAAGCATAGAATAGTACCATATCATGTTTATTATGCATTTAAAGAGTGGTAAGCTGCACACTGAAACTATAAACTGCATTTTACTGATAAGATTGCTATTGTAAATGGAGACAAGACATTAGTCGCAAATACTTGCTGTCTTCTCAATTAGCTGACCAATAGTCTTTCCAGAAAGCATTCATTTATCCAACAAACATTTATGAAGCTTCTACTATTTATGGATTTAAAAATGGTATTGCCCTCGCTCTCCAAAACTTTAAGTCTAGTAAGGAAGACAATAAGGCAACCAATCAATGCTAGACAAAGGATTATTTGATTAAATCAGTTACAAAAAAGAACTAACTGACTCAGAAGAGGTACTAGGGGTATAGAATAGGCTTTATGGAATAGAAAATGCCTTGAATAAAGAGGCAAGGAGTGGGAGACATGACATTTAGACAGAGGTGCCATATGTGGGTAACACCAGAGAAAAGTGTGAGAAAGAAAGCCACACACTTCAAAGACAAACAAGCATGGAGTACAGGGTGGGAGGGATGAGAGATGAAACTGGAAAGGTAAACTAAAGCCAGATGATCATAGAGAGGGTGATGACAATTAATAGACTTTAAGGTCAATTCTGAAGCCATTTATTCAAAGTTGTATTTTATAACAAGATTCAAAAATATAGCTTTGTATCCAATAGAAGTCAGACATCATGATTTAGAACAGAAGGCTGCTGTGGTCATATGTCAGTGATTTTGCTAAAGCCTGGAATTCTATGTTTCATCTTGGAAACGTTTTGATACAAATTAAAGACTGGTTTTCTTAAATGAGTACAAAGCACAGCTACAGAATGAAAATACACATACATCGAAATAGTTTGACAGCATTTCTACAGAACACCTTGGGGGACTGAACACAGTGTTTGAGATTGCTACAAAATTGCAAGCTGAATGCAACTGTATAAAACTAATCAGTGGGTGAAAAATAAGGAACAAGGTACACTGCAGAATCTAATTTGCAGTCAGCTTTGCCATCTACAGAATCCAAACTAGTAAAGTCATAAAGGTCATTGTTAATTGAAAAGCTTTTCCTTATGTAATTAATGAAGAAAATAAAACCCACTTTAATGACATAATTAAACAATTATGGTATATTGTCATTCCTGATGATATGCAGAAAGAATATAGAGGGGACATTTTTCCCATTTCACAAGATCACGTGTCTACTGCTATAGGATAGAACACTGAATTATCATTACTAGGACTCTGGTCATTACAATGCTTGTATGTAATATATGGGTTCATCAAGAGTTTCTGTGTGACCTCTGCATTCATGGCCTTCACACATTATCCTATCTGATGCTCATTTACAACCCTCTGGGGTATGGATTGTTATGCCCAATTCATCACTAGAAAATAAATGGAATGTTTAGGTTAAATGACTTGCCCAAGCCACACTATTAGTAGGTGACAAAGTGGAATTCATAATCAAGTCTTATATTTCTATATTCAGTGTCCTTTCCTCCGTAATGTAGATCAAAGACTTCTAAAATAGGTTTCAGAAATGGAAAGATGATCAGAATGTTGCAGAAATTACTGCAAGTAATTTCTTATTTACTAAATGTGACCAACTGTTTAACCTGTCCTATTCTAAAGGAAGCAGAAAATTAATTATTAATGCATGTTTTACCATGAAAGTTTGATTTAGAGCACTCTGCTGGGCATTTTCCTTTCCCTTGAGGCAGGAACAGCTTTATCTTTATTTGGGGAGGTATCAGGAAGAGCACAGAGATTAACTAGCCTTTAGATACTGGAGCTTTCATAGACCAAATCTGGGTTCTAACTCCTGGTCTTAGTGTAAGCACTATTCTTGTTCTGGTATATTAGGGATCATCAGGGAAGACCAGAATTTAACTTCTTCCCTGTGAAAAATGAAGAGGGAGTTTTTTATGTCTCCTTGTTTGGATAACTATATTTCACAATTGTTATTGGTCCTGATCCAAAGCTTTTCAAGACATACATTTAGAAGACCCTTGAATGAGACTCAACTAAAAAACAAAAACAAAAACAAAAAAAATTTTGTATGACTTCCTCGGATTTCTATAGCAGTATTCTCAAATGACACTATAGAGTTACAATTTAAATAACTCAAATTACCATAACGGAATTTTACAAATTGGGAATAGCAAGATCTAGGAATGGCTTTCTATTTTATGAAATCACAAGATGCTTATATAGAGACATACAGTTTTAAGGTGAACTATGACATGACTATATCAAATACATGAAATAGGTCAAATACGCACATAAGTTTCCTTAATTGTAAGGACTACATTTTCTACCTTTCTACCTCCTCTTTGTTCTTCATATCTACCCTAGTTTTGTGGGTTTTTTTTTTCTTTACAATAGAAAGAGATACTGTCTGACATGTATATAATGTATTAAGAAGGAATTCTGGAAGAAAGGAAGATATTCAGGGTATGGCAGAGTAGTGCAGGTGGTAGGGAGGGGTAAAAGAAGTATAAGAAGTGGTAATAATTCAGTTTTGCACTCTTCAGGCACCAAAAAACATTTTTCTGGGTTTAAAAATTCTAATGTCTGAAAATATAAAAATATGGTGGAATCCTGGCCCATATGAAATTCATAATTTAGAAAGGATGATAAAGTATATTCATGAATGGCCATCATGCAGAATAGGAAGTGAAAATATAATAATTAAATTATTATTATAATTGGATTATTGCAATTGCCTCAGAGTTTCAGGTTTCTGCCCTTGACATCTGTAGTGTAGTTTATTCTCTCTACAATAAATAGAATAAAATTTTTAGAGTTTAAGTCAGAACAACATGGCTTCCTACTTCATTTCCTATTTCACTCATAAGAAAAAATTTAATCCTGAGAGTGGTCAAAGATCTTATGCAATCTTCCTTTGATGCCTTTCTGACCTTACCAGCTGCCACTCTTTTCCAGTTGATTCTGTTCTAGACTACAGTCCTCTAGCTTTGTTTCCAACAAAGGGGCACATGCTCTTGCCCTAGGAAGTTCGCATTTGCTCTTTCTTCTGCCTGGACCTCTCTTTCTCCAGAGAGCTGCATAACTTAGTCACTGTCTTCCTTAGATCTTCACTGAAGTTTCTAATGTATTAAATAGCAAAAAATAATACCACTGCTACACTCCTATGAAATGCATTATCTGTTTAGTTGCTGGGTTATTTTCTGCCTCTCCTTGCTAGAAGTAACATTCAGGACCTTTGTCTGTTTGGTTACTTCTGTGTATTCCAAGGGCCCAGAAATAATTGAAAATAAATATAAATATTTGCTGAATGGATGAATGAAGGCAAAAATTAAGATAGTTTTAGAAGAAGAAACAATATGGTAAAGTAAATCAAAATTTCCAAAGTACAACCTAGTTGGGAAAGCAAAGTCATGCCTACATTAATGTATGATAACATATAATTAAATGCATATATATGTCCTACAAACAGTGACTGATCTATGATACAGAGGATGGGCTAAGCAATCTGAGACAGTGGGCGGGGAACCATGCTCTGTGAAGAGAGCAAAGTGGTAGGTAAGGGGCAGACGGGAGCTGGGCTCAGAACTACTTGAAATAAGAAAGAACTACATTTGACCCTATACTTCAGGAACCAATTTAACTCATTGAAAATTCTGCTTTGTATGTGCTAGACACTTTGTTAGGCACTTACAATTATTATCCTATTTAATCTTCACATAACCGTATAAAAGCCAGATACCATTATCTTCATTTTAATAATGGAGAAACAAAGGTACTGAAGGTTTGTATCTTGAACAAAGCCAGTTGGTCTGCATTCTACCATGCTGACAGACTATGTTACACATTCCTAGAGTCAGACAGCAGCCAGGGTGAGGGATTGTCCCACTACAGATGAAAGAATTAATGAGTGAGGGAAATGTTTGTGAGGTACAGACAGATCATTAATGGGGCAGGATGAAGCAATAATTCTTGGGTCACAGACTTGGATCTTTTTTCCTCTCTGGACTCCAAAATGGAAAATTTTAACAGTTAGTGATCTTAGGATCCCTCTGAAGTACAGATAATGAAATAATCTGAATAAAAAAAGTTTAATAATGAATATATCCTTTAATTAAATATGGCATGGCTTTTCCTGAAAGTTTTTTTTTTTCTTTTCCACTTAAAAAATCTGCTAGACTACTTACTTCATTGGGCGATGAGTGAAACAGTTCCAAAAATACATTTTTCCCCAGAAGCTGTGTTAACACCCTGCCAAATATCATGACAAATACTTAAATTTTGAGTCAATCATCTGGATGTTTTGTAATCATAGTTCCAAACATCTGGTTGCTGAAAAATGTACAAAAAATAACCTGAATACTTAATATTGTTTCAGGGTTGTTAATTATATAAACCCGGGCTTAAGATAGTTAGTGTTTTCTAATAAGAACAGCATTGATGTTTTTCAACTCTTTCGAGTAGTTCCTTTATAAATGACACTACTCCACACTATTAGGCAGGTCCTGATCTGGATGGTATAAAGTCCCATTTGGTGAACCTCAAGTTGATCAAAATGATGTTGGAATA